AATAAATTTCTAATCTGTTCGGTTTATATACTTTTTATTATTATTATTGTTTAACGTAAAGTAGTTTTTTTTTTTATTGTACACCCAAAGGGATGCTTCTGACTTACGTAAAAATCAAAACGAACGATAATAATAATAATAATGATAATAATAATAAAAAGTAATAAGAAAAACGGGATGTTAACGTTAACGTTATTACGTAAAACTTAAAATCATCCGAACGGGGTGGGCGGGAGAGAGGAAAGAAAGAATAAGAAAATTTAATATAAAATGATTTATTTACTTATTTATTTATTTTTTCCTGGTTATTTAATAATCGGATTCAATCGAAATGAAAATCAATCAATCATTCATTCATTCATTCATTCAAGGATTTGTTTCCGTACGAAAATTTTCATTGATATCAGGCATTAAAAAAAAAAAAAAAAAAAAACAAAACCGCGAATTCGTTTACGAATTTTTTTTTCAAATCATTTGGCGCGAATTTATTTATTTTTAAATTTTTTTGTAGCAGAATGCACTCGAATGCGAAATGAACAATTGTGTATCATCGTCGTCATCATCATCATCATCATTACGATCATCATTATCATTATGATCATTATTATTATTATCTTCGTCGCGGTCGTTTTCCCGGCTGAAACTTTCACTTTGTGTTTTTTTTTTTTTTTATTGCTTTATTATCGTCCTGCCTCGTGATTTTCTTTTTCTCAATGTTTTTAAATGCAGTGCCTCGTTAAAAAAAAAAAAATTTCACGCCGCGTTTCCGTATAATAATAATAATAAAAATAATAATAATGATGATGATGATGATGATGATAACAAGGTTTGCTTTTAGTTTGTTTCGATCGTCGTTAAACGAATCGAAAAAATTTTTTTTTTTTTTTTAATTTATTTTTTATTTTAGGTTCGGTGGTAAAATTTAAAAAAAAAAAAAAAAAAAGTAGGGTAGTGCAATCTTTTGACGGATTTCGAAAACATTTTCAGGTTTTTCTAATTAATCCTAAAGCTGCGTGTGCCTGTGCGTGTGCGTGTGCGTGTCATGGGTAAATTGAAAAAAAAAAAAAAGCGTGTTGTGTGTTGTTGCAATTGAATTTTTTTTTTTTTTTTTAAATTCTCAGACGCGACAAACTAATCTTGATTTATTATCATTATTATCATTATTATTATTATTATTCGTACGTGAAACCAGGAAGTAAAGGAAAAAAAAGGAAAAAAAAGAAAAATATGTAAAGTTTGTATATGCATATTGATCACATTCGATCGATTGATCGAAATGGAAATTTTTTATTTTTCTGGTTGTTTTGTCGGTTATGCAGATGACGACGACGACGACGACGATGATGATGATGATGATGATGATGATGATGATGATGATGATGATGATGATGCTAATTATTATTATTATTATTATTTTTTTTTCCTGTTATCGCATTGCAGATTTATTAACACTCGTTTTGTTTTATTCTTGTATCTTACTTTTGAGTTTGTCGATTGTTATCATTTCGCTTTTTTTTTTAATTATTAATTATTAATGTGCATATTATGTTGACGTATCTTTTATTTGTTTTTGTTTTTTTTTGTTTTCTTCTGCTTTTGCTTTTGTTTTCATTCGAGAGGAAAAAAAAAACAAAAGTAACATGGTAGAAGGAGCACAACTAGGCAACCTGTATGCAACTGCAGCAACGAAACATATTAAAATTTCTTCTTTTGTTAAGTAAAAAATATTTAAATGCATTTTAATTTTACAGGCGTAACAAGTCAACCTTGAATGGAGGTGCATTCAATTTTTTTTTTTCAAGTGTTTTTTTTTTTTTTTTTTATATAAACGATGTCGGATGGAGGAGAGGAGTGGGAGTGGGAGTGGGAGGAAGAGGAGGAGGAGGAAAAAAAAAGAAAAAAAATTGAAATTCCATTGCGTTTACGATGCGGATGCAAGTTCAATTTACATTTCTTAATTTTTTATTCACATAATGGGATACGTAATTTAAAAAGACTACGTTTCACCGTAAGTTTAAAATCGTTTCACGTGACAATTTTACGTTAAAGAGTGAGAGAGAGAGAGAGAGAGAGTCCGTTAAATTTATTATTACGATGCATTTTAAAATGTAATTTGATTCGTGTTGTGCGTGATTATTTAACGGACTCTCCTCGTCAATTTATAATCCGTCATGAAAATTTTTTTTTTTTTTTTTTTAATGAATGCGCTCATGAATGGTTATTTGCTTTTCAGTCTGGGTTACGTAAAGTTCATTGAAAAAAAAAAAAAAAAAAAATTATCATCATTATCATTATTATTATCATGGTTATTATTATTATTAGTATTAGTATTATTATTTTTCTTCAGGTAACCTAAAGTTTCGGGGTCTCCGTCTGTCTAACGTCTGGGTTTTTTTTTTTTTTTTTTTTTTTTTTTTTTTTTTTTTTTTTACTTTTTACGTTTTACGTTTTACGTTTACGATGTTTAAAGTTTGTGATTTTCGGAAAACGTCTCGTCGTACGTGTACACGTTCCCATAAAAAAAAAAAAAAAACCTTTGAGAAAAATCCTTTGAGAGGAAAATCCTTTGACGAAAAAAAAAAAAACCTTTGACAAAATATCATTCTTTTGAAAATGAACTCCCGGTTGCGCTCACCCGGTTTATACAAAACGAATGCACTTATCTGTTTTATTGTTATTATTATTATTATTATTAATTAACAGGTGTTCTAGGTATTTCAGGTAATCCTTACATTTTAAAAAAATTCCTGAATGTTTTTTTTTTTTTTTTTAGTTTTTTTTTTTTTCCCGTCGCAAATGTTTTTATACGTGTAATCATTATTGAAATTATCAGTATCATTATTATTATTATTATTATTATTATTATTATTATTATTATTATTATTATTTTCCTTGCACTTTGATTGTTGTTTGTCTCCCCGTCTGTTTTCCTTATTGTCTCTAAATCTTCTTCTTCTTTTAAATTTTTCAACAGTAAAATCGAAGTGAGAATAAGGAAAAGAAATTAATAATAATAATAATAATTATTATTATTATTGTTGTTGTTGTTGTTGTTGTTGTTGCTGTTGTTGTTGATGCTGTTGTTTTTTTGTCGTTCGTAATAAATTTTCGATACGTGACTGACTGACGTTTTGCGTTTGTTTCGCGACGTTGACGAAATATTTGTGTGTGTTTTGTTAATTTGTTGTTGTCGTCGTGGTTGTTGTTGTTGTTGTTGTTGTTTTATTCCCGTTTCGTTTTAGGCCTAAAAATAAAAAAACAAGGATGGCGCCAAAAACCAAAAAAAAAAAAAAAAATTACGTTTTATCATCATTATTTGGAAGTCCTTGCAAGTTAATAACAATAGAAAAAAAAAATGATAATGATGATGATAATGATGAAAGTCTCACCGTTGAATTTAAATGAGATTTAAATTTACGACGACGACGACGACGACGAAAGGAGACGAAGGAAGACGAAGGGAGGAGGAGGAGGAGGAAAAGAGTACGTTAACGCGTATAAATTGAAAATTTGTTTTTCTCTCTCTGTCTCTCTCTCTCTTTCTCTCTTTTTTTTCCTCTCCAGACTGGAAACGTTAGCGACGACGATTGTGAGTGAAAAGTTTTTATTTTATCCAAAAGAAAATTTCAATTTTTTTTTGTTTTGTTTTTGTTTGGTTATAGCAGGAGTAAAAAGGAATTAGCGATGATGTGATAACAACAAACGAAGAAGAGAACCGAGAAGAAGAAGAAGAAGAAGAATGGATGATGATGGAGATAAAAGAAAATATTAACACGGTATTATTTGAATTCGAAGAAGATTTATCTACTCTCTCTTTCTCTCTCTCTCTCTCCTTCTGGCGCGTTTATGTTGTTCGTTTGTTTGTCTGTACGGAAACAACAACATCATCCGTTGGAATTGGATTCCACACACACACACACGCAAACAAACAAACGAGCAAACAAACACACGCAGTCGGTTGATTTGTTTGTTTTAATTAATGTAACAACAACAAGTGCAACTGTTAAACGAATGTTATCGTGTCGCCTCTTTCCCCCCCCCCCCCCCGATAAAAAGTTTTTTTATATATATATTATCGGATCGGAAAATTTATTTATTATTATTATTATTATTATTATTATTATTTTTTGTTATTGTTGTATCGATTTTGTTTTTTTATATATCTTCATAATCATCATTCATGTTTGTCATCATATAGTATCGTGACTGTTTGTTTGTTTGTTTGTCTCCCCAAATCATCCGGATTTTTAGTTCCACTTTTTTTCCAACTGCATCCGGTTTGTCGTTTGTCGCGTCTTCGTTTTACTAAACCTCATTTCCGTTAAAGACGCTCACTGTGACAACGAACACTTCCGCTTTTTCACGTTTTCCTATTTTTTTTGTTTTTTTTTTTTTTTTTGTTTATATCTTATCGTTATCATTATCATCATCATTAACATCATCAACATCATCATTATTATAATTATAATTATTATTATTATTATTATTATTATTATTATTATTATTATTATTAAAATATTAAGTTTTATTTTTGTTTGTTTACTATACTTTCTAATATTATTAAATTTTTTTGTTTTATTATTATTATTATCATTATTATTGTTATTATTATTATTATTATTATTATTAATATTATTTTAATTGTTTTTTTTTTTTTCAATTCCAGAATCAAGATTAAGTGAACTGTTTCCGGTTTGATTATTATTATTATTTAATTTTTTTTGTCCGGAATCGGGTTTTTCGGTTTTTTTAAATTTATTGTTTGTGTTGCTGTTGTTGTTGTTGTTTGTGTTTTTTTTTTTTTGTTTGTTTTGGATGTCGCGAGTAAAACGAACGCGAACGTAAATTTAATTATCCGCCGCCATTTTGGAATTTTTCGAAAGACGGAAAAAAAAAAAAATTTTTTTTTCGTTTTTGTTTTTTTTTTTTTTTCACGCCATGTTTTACTTTCTTTTTTTTTTTTTTTTGCAGTTTTATACGATCTACGGGAGAGAGAAATAATGAAGTGTAATTATCAAATAGTGAGAAGTCGAAAGGGGACTCCCGTGATATATTTTAACGGGTTCAGGTACGGACCCGTGAGAAATCCAAAATATCCTAATAAATATTGGGTTTGCACGTCGAATCAAAGTTCTCAGTGTCGCGCGAGAGCCGTCATGAAAAAAAATGGAAATCTATGGCTTAAAGAATGTCATTCGCATTTGCCCAAATGGCCGTGAATAATAATAATAATAATAGCAGCAACGACAGCAACAGCAACGACAACGGTAATAATAATAGTAACCGTCGCCGTCGTTCATAATTTTAAATTATTATTATTATTATTACCGGGATTTTAAATTTTTTTTTTTTTAAATATTTTCGACGAGGAATAGAAACCTGATTTTGTCTCTCTCTCTCTCTCTCTCTCTCTTTTTCTCTTTCTCGTCGGTTTTTTTTTTTATTGTTGTTGTTATTGTTGTTGTTGTTGTTGCTGTTGCTGTTGTTGTTGTTGTTTGGGTCTCACCGTAGTATTAACCGTTTGTAATGAAATTATCAACATATGTAAATACACAATAGATTTATATATATATATATATTTATATATTTCAAAACGCCTTAATGTTTTGTCAATTATCATTAATAAATAAATAAATAAATAAATAAATAAAAATGATGTTAATAATAATGATGATAATAATAATAATAAATCTAATACTCTCTCGTGGAATTTTTTTATCGTGATATTTCGTTATTTCGTTGTTGTTGTTGTTTTTGTTTTTTATAAGAAAAAGTCGACGTGCAATAAGTTTTATTATTATTATTATTATTGTTGTTGTTGTTGTTGTTGTTGTTGTTAATACTTTATAGAATGTTTTATTAAAGAAAAAATTATACTACGTTTTTAAATTAAAGAAAAAAATTTATAATAATAAAATTTTAATGTAATTGTCATCATTATTATTATAAATGATTGTAAAAGAAAAAAAAGAAAATTTTTTTTTTTAGGTTTTTTGTTTTTCAGTCAAAAGAAGCAATTTTCCGATCGGGAGAACAATGTGGAAATTTAAAAAAAGACCAATAATAATAATAATAATAGAAATTAAAGGGAAAAAAAATGGAGGAAAAATCGGATGGAACGTCCTGGAGAAATTTAAAAAAAAGAAAATTTTGTAATTTATTATATTGTATATAATATTGTTAATGAACGTTTAAAAAAAAAAAAAAAACCTGGAAAAATATAATTATTATTATCATTATTGTTATCATTATTATTATTATTATTAATAAAAAAAACAACAAAACGAAAAGCAAAATAAAACCTTTAAAAAATTTCTTGACTTGACTTTTTTTTTTTAATTATAATTTATTTATTTATTATTATTATTATTGTTGTTGTTGTTGTTGTTGTTGTTGTTGTGTTGTTGTTGTTGTTGTTGAGGACGTGTAAATAATTATAATTTTTTTTTTTTTTTTTTCTCTGTTAATGATTTCAGATAATTATCATTACTTCATCATTCCGACGAGAATGGGAAATCCGAAATTGATATGCAGCGGATACGAGTACCTGGGAAATCGTAGGAACATTGAAAAGCAAAGGGAATATTGCATATGTAAAAATTATTCTAAAAGCTCATGCAAAGCGAGAGCGGTCATCTATAAAGAGGGAGGTGTGAGCTTTTCCGGTACGCACAATCATCCACCGCCTGCTACGACGAGAAATTTATTTCACAGACACATCAATTTTAAAAAAGAATTATTTTAATGGAAGAATAAGAAGAAGAAGAAAAAGGAAAAAAGAAGAAAGAAAATTGATCGAGTCAATCGAAAAACCGAAACGTTTTTTTATACACGTTATTATTATTATTATTATTATTATTATTATTTTATTTTATTTTAATTTTTTTTTATTTAGTTTTTAAGGTACGCGAAAAAAAAAAAATATTATTATTATTATTATTTTAACTCGCGAGCGTGGTGACGGGAGAACAAACGGGCGAACGAACGAACGAACGGAACGATGCGTTGCTTATTATCATTATCATTATTATCATCGTTATGTACCCTAAACCTACGCTTTTCCATTTTCCTTTTTCCCCAAACTTGTTATTTGTTATTCCTTTGTTATACTTACTTACTCGAACGTGCAATTAAAATAAACCTTTACCCCAAATTATTATTATTATTACGTAAGTGTGTGTGTGCGTAAGCAACGTCGTTCTCCCGTCCCTCCCCCCCCCCTCGCCGTGAAATCTAGGTAATCTCACGTGAACAGGTAATTTTTATTATTATTATTATTATTAATTAATTAATTAAATAATTAACAGTACAGGTAATAATTTTTAATATAAAGTACAGGTAATTTTAATTGTTAACGGAACAGGTAATAAATAGATTTATATATATATATATATTTATACATTATTATTATTATTATTATTATTATTATAGATAACAGATCAGGTAATGTCTTAAGACTTATTATTATTATTATTCAAGGTACGAACGCGAATGAGTAAATAGGATATATATATATTTTTCGGTTAACGTTTTTTCGTTATCGGCGTTATTTATATTTAATAATAATAATTATTATTATTATTACGATGATGATGATAATAATAATTGTTATTGTTAATTAATTCGAAATGGCCTTATATAATGTAAACGTTATTATTATTATTATTAAAAAATTTTTAAAGTTTAAAAAAAAAATATAAAAATAAATATTATTATTATTAATAATAAAAATATATATATATTAATAAGATTGTTGTTGATGATGATGATGATGATGTTTTTGTTGTAACGTTGCTGATGTTGATGATGATGATGATGATGATATTGATAACGGTGATAATAATAAATAAAATAGGAAAAAAAATATATAAAAAAAATGTTTTAAAATAAAAAAAAAATAATTTTATTATTATTATTATTAATTAATATTATTTATAATTACTTTTTATATATATATATATAATAAAAAAATTTTATGTATTTTGTTTATTATGTAGTTGTAAAACTTTATCGAAATGAAATGAAGCAAAAAAAAAATAAATAAAAATAAATAAATAAAAAAAATTAATATTTTATATACATAAACACACACACACACACATAAACACACACTTACACAATATATATATATATATATATATATATATATATATATTTTGGGGACCTATTTCATAAACGTTATGTATGTTGTCATTATTATCATTGATGATGATGATAATAAAATAAATGATGTGAAAATGTTTTTTTTTTTTTTTATAAAATAATTTTTTTTAACGTTATATATATATATATATATATATATATATATATATATATTAAATTGTTATGTATTATTATTATTATTATTATTTTTAAATCGTTATAACAGATTATTTTGTAACGTTGTGTAACAATAAATAAATGAAAGGAAAAATTATTATTATTATTATTATTATTATTATTATTATTATTATTGATAAATGTGTAAAAAAAAATTTAAATTTTTATATATGAAGTGTCGACTGATTTTGATTTATTATTATTATTACTATTATTGGTATTATTGGTATTATCGGTATTATTATTATTGTTATTATTGTTATTATTTTTTTTTTTTTATTGATAAATTATTATTATTATTAATGTTATTGATAAATGTGTAAAAAAAAAATTTAAATTTTAAATTATCAAATGTCGACTGATTTTGATTTATTATTATTATTGGTATTATTGTTATTATTGTTTATTATTATTATTATTATTATTATTTTGTTAAAAATTCAATTTTTTAGGGAAAATGATAATAATAATAAAATGAAATTGGTTTTTTTAATCATGTGATTTAATAATATATATATATATATGTTTAGTTATTGTTATTATTATTATTTTTGGTATTATTATTATTATTATTATTATTATTATTATTATTATTATTATTATTATTATTATTATTATTATTATGAAAATTGTAAATGTTTTTTTTTTGTTTTTTGTCCGGTGATAAAAAAAATGAATGGAATCCGTTACAATATATATATATATACATTAATGTCTGATAAAAGTGTGATAATATTACGTGTGATAAATTTGAGTAAGTAATAAATGTTAACATGTTAATTAATTTTTTTAAATGCGTGCGTACGTGCGTGTGAACGTGCGTGAGTGCGTGCGTACTTGAGTACACGTAAGAAGCAAAGGGTGATAATTTTTTTTTTTTTTTTTTTTTATTAAAATAATATTTAAAAATAAAACAGCCAGAAACAAAATCAAATTGATTTTGTTTTTTTTTTTTCTATCGTTGTTAATTGTATTATTTTTATTATTATTATTATTACTATTATTATTATTATTATTATTATTATTATTATCATTATCATTATTATCATTATTATTAAATTTACGATGTATTTAAATTTTTTTATTGGAATAATTAATAATTTTTAATATTATTATTATTATTTTTTTTTTTTTTTAAATTTATTTTCTAATTGATAAATATCTTTCTCTCTCTCTCTCTCTCAATGGAAAATGTTGTTGTTATAAATTAAGGGGTTATGGAAAATGGTGACGATTGTTTGACGATTGTTATTTTCAGGTTGTACAGGTACGAAAGACGTTTCCCTTTGTTTCGATTATCAATTCAGCAAACAAAGATCGGGTCGTCAAAATTCACTACCGAGAATATTTTACCACGGATTCGATTTCGTTTGTCAAAGGGTAAAAAGGAATTCTTATAAATATTGGAGATGTAGCAGGTACACGATAACCGGATGTAAGGGACGCGCCATATTGGAATATAACGGGGGTTTAAGACTTAACGAAGGTCACAATCACAATCCTTTATCACATTCCGAAATGTTAAAAATGTATTTCATGCCGAGAAACGAAACCGTACAAATCGTTAAATATTTACTTAATAAATAAATATTATTATTATTATTATTATTTATACCTCTTCTAGAAAATTCTTATTTGATGTGTGACGTAATCGTTGACGTCACATCGCGCGCGCAAAAAAATTTTCTTTTCTCTTTTGTTTTTATAAAATGTTTGTTAATTTTATTTATTTATTTATAAATTTTATCGTGGAAGTAGACAAAATTTTTGTTGTAATTAATATAATTTAAAAAATAATTTTTAATAAATATATATATTAATAATAATAATTATAAAAAAAAAAAAATAAATTAGTTATGATTATGTGGAAACGTTGTGAAAAGAGTGAGAGAAAAAAAAGGAAACGGAAATGAAAATTTATTTATACAAATTATTATTATTATTATTATTTATCGATTGAGTTTTATTGTTAAATTATTTTTTTCTTTTTTTTTTTTTTTTTTAGGATATTTCGATTACGAATTTGTTAAATATCGTAAAGGACCGTTAAAACTTCTTCATCAGGGATACGAATACGTGAGTCCGATTCAAACGGTTCAAAAAAAGTCACAGCCTTTGAGATTGTGGAGATGTTGCAGGTACATGTATTATCAACAGGTTTGCGGTGCTAGTGCCGTTTTGGAAGCCGGAGGAAAATTGAGCCTTTTAGGTGTTCACAATCACCTTCCCGCCAAATTACTACACGACGGTTACGAATATTTATTCGAAGAAATGGATAAAAATAATCAGAGGAAGTTGTACAGGTGTCACAGATACCTGAGCCCCGAAAGTTCATGCATGGCAAAAGCCGTTGTCACCGATAAGGGAGATTTAAATTTAATCGGGTCTCATAATCATTTACCTGATAAGTAATTAATTTTTCATTTAAAAAAAAAAAAACATGAAATTTATATTATTATTTATATAAACCGGAAATAGAACGTTGAACGTTCCGGAAACCGTATTTAAATACGATATCATTCACATAAAATAACACATTATGTCTGACAATGCATCGTAATTTCAAATATTAACGGTTTTTCTCGTTGTAAGTCATAGAGTAAAAACCAACAACAACAACAACGATTTGTAATTATTTATTTACTCTATGCTCTCCTTTAGTATTATTATTGTAATTTAACTTACGAATTGTTATTAATGACGTGGATAATTTTTAACACATTGTTTTTGAAAATAACGGTCAAAGAAGCAATTCGTTCGATCCGCCATATTTAAATTATTTATCTTGAGGTTGAAACAACGGAAAAGTAATGACAAAACGTTGTTGTTGTTGTTGTTGTTGCGTTTGTTTTATAAACAAATATTAAATTATTTATAACAATTATTAGTTTAGCAATATTTTCAGTATAAAATAAAAATTTTAAATTAATTATTATTAAAATGAAATATCATCAAATGAATTTTTTTTTTTTTTTAAATCAATCAATCCTTTGTAAAAATTTTATTTTTAATTATTTATATTATTAATAATATTAATAATAATTGTAATTATTGTATTATTATTTTAGATAAGTATGTTATTATGCAAACGTGTTCAGGTTCGTTTTTATTATTTCACATGGGATTCGAATATAGACTTCATTCACGTGACAGAGCTGGAAGACAAAGATTTTGGAGATGTAAATATTATAGGAGTAAACAAAATGCTAAATGTAAGACAAGCCTTTGTTTTTCAACGGAAGGAGTCATGAAAATTTACGGCATACACAATCATCCAAAAGAACATCCAATAAATATAAAATCTAGAAGTGACGTCATCAATAATTTACAAAATAATTGAATTGATTTTTTTTTTTTTCCAAAATGGAAACAGGTAATTGTTGTTATTTGTTAAAAATTCATTTTTTTTTTTTTTTATTAGATGTTGATTTTATTAACGTATATAAATTTTAAATTGATTTATATGTACAAAATGTACAAAATCCTGAGTTATATTTGCTTAGGTGTTGGGTATTTATTTGTTAATTAATATTTTTATAAATTTTTTTTTTTTATTTATTATTTTTTAATAAATATTAAGTATTATTTTTACATTAGTTATTAAATTAGTAATTCAGAAATTTTGTACGCGAAATTACACGAAGTAAACTTATATCGTTGAGTAGAAAAAAAAAAAAAAAAAAAAAAATTTTTTTTTTTAATTTCCATTAAAAACAAATGCAAGTTAATTTTTAAAAACTTTAATTCTTAACGACAAGTGTTGCCAACTTTTGTTAATTGCACTGCCATCTATAAATACACTGTGCTGCCATCTGCACTTATCGAATGCGGCGCCAAATGTGATATATAATGCTGTCATCTGTATTAATATAAGTGGCGCCAATTCTAATACATCGTGCTGCCACCTATGTTAAAGAAAAACGCTGCGCTCTATCGGATGATTTTATCATTAGTAATTATTCCGTTGCGCATCATGTTTCACAACAGTTTCATGATGGCCGACGTGTTTATTGAGTTTTAGAAAGAATTGTGTTCGGGAATTGTATATTATTTGAATAAATAATCTTATAGTGTTTGTTTATAAAAAATTTTATTGGAATATTTTTATACATTTAAAATAATAAGGTATTTATTTAAAATTTTTAACTTTTCATTTATTTTCTTATAATGAATTAAATTGGTTTGCAATGACTGACAATGCCGACTTCTGCTTGTCTATTTTAAATGTTAAAAAAAAAAATTTTTTTTTAAATTTAAACATTTGATTTATTTATTTATAAAAAGAAAAAAACTTTTAAAAACGATTTTTTATTAAATTAAAATAAATATTTATCGAATTAATAATTTAATTGATAAATTATCAATGTTTTAAATTTAAAAAAAAAATTTTTTTTTTTTAATGTGTTTTAAATTTAACAAACAGAAAAAACAAAATTTAACAAATCGTTTCACGAATCAAAATGAAACAAAAAAACCAAATCAAATCAAAAATTTATTTTTAGATCACATCAACTTTTTATAAAAAAATATTCATTTGTTAATTGCAAACTATATAATTCATGTTTGAACATTGGGTTTTTCCCATGAAAATTTTTTTCTTTTTTTTTTCAAAAAAAAATTTCAAATCCTTGAAAAATGTTTTTAATTTTTTTGTTTATTCGATATTCAATTTTTTTTTTTGTTTTATGATTCACAATTTTTAAAATAAACAATCGAATACAAATCAAAATTTTTTTTTTTTTTAATCGAAATTTTTAAACATTTCCCTTATCAAAAAAATTATTATTAATTACATATATATATAAAATTTTATAATTTAAACTTTAATCGAAAACAAACATAAACATACATTTAATGCCTTAATTAAACACAACAACAACAACAACAACAACAACAGTGACAACAAAATAGAAAACAATTTAATAAATTATTATTTTGTAAAAAAAAAAAAAAAAAAAAAAAAATAATTTTTCAATCGCAAAACATGAACTTTGATTCATCATTTCAAACAAAATTAAATTATTTATCTACCGACTGTCAATTTGTTGTTGTTGTTGTTGTTGTTTGTTGTTTCCTTTTTACTCACATTTTTTTCAATCATATTTTTTATTTACAGTCCACTGTGGTAATTTAAAAACAAAAAAATTATAAGTTGGTAACGAATAAGTCATTTTTGTGTGAAATTTATCATAATGAAATCATTCATTTTATAATTTTTGTTAATCTTGTCGATTTCAAAAACATTTTTTATTTATTCTCTCTCTCTCTCTCTCTCTCTTTTTCTCTCTGTCTATCATCATTTTATTAAAAATTCAAAATAATTAATTATTTTATTTATTTTATCAAATGTTTAATCGATGAAGTGAATAATCATGATTTAATAACAACAAATCACAAACGTTTTAATTTTAATTTTATTTTATGTCTGTGTGTGTTACATAACATAAATAATTTAATTTCATCATCATCATCATCATCATCATCATCATCATCATCATCATCATCATCATCATCATCATCATCATCATCACGTCGTTTGTTTGTTTGTTAATTTTAAAAAACGGAAGTACTAAAATAAAATTCAAAAATTAAAATAATTATTGACATTTAAAAAAAAAAAAAAAATGATTTATTCGTTTGTGTGTGACACACAGAAAGAAAATATTAATTTTTATTATCATTATTATTATCATTATTATTATTATCATCATCATCATCATATTGAAAAACAAGTAAAAACAAACAAACAGGAAAAAAAAACAAATTTTGAAAAAAAAAAAAAAATAATAATCAAAGTCGAATATTGAATTTAATTAAGAAATTAATATATAAAAGGTAACAGAAAACATGTTGTAACGGTTTCCAAGGTTGATTTGAACTTTTGAAAAAAAAAAAAAAAAATTGAAATCATTCAAGGATTTTATCATTATTATTATCATTATTATTATTATTACTATTATTATTATTATTTGTATTTCGTTACAGACTCGATTTTTTTTTCGTTTTCTTATTCTTATTTAAATGTTTTCATTAAATTAAAAAAAAAAAAATTAAAAGAAACTCGTTCGAAATTAATTTTTTTTTTATAGGCGTTTAAATGTCATCGTTAATTGTTAATTACGAAATTGATGATGATGATGGTGATGGTGATGGTGGTGGTAGTGGTGGTGGTGGTAATGGTGGTGATGGGGGTGGTGGTGGTGGTTTGGGTGATAAGGCAGGTCAAATGTTTTATGCGATTGATAATATTAGGTACGCACGTTTGGAAAAAGATTCTTTTGTTTGTCTTATGTTCGTTTGTTGGATCGTTTGTTGTCGTGTACAAACAAACAGTACGAAAGAATAATTCGAAGAATGTTTTTGCGTGTGTGTGTGCGTGTGCGTGTGTTATTTTGGTTTCGTTACTGTCGGTGAGTGAGAAAAAAACATTTTTGGCGAGGGGGAGTCGATGATGATTTTTTATTTAAAAAAATTTTTAATTTTACATAATGGAAAGAAAGAGAGAGGGGGAGGGAGAGTGGGGGGAAGAGAAACTTGGTTTCGTTTGTCGTGCCACACGTGAAGAATTTTTTTTTTTTTTTTTTTTTTTAGTTTTTTGTCGGTTAAACGATGATTAATTCGAGGATTTAATGGCGGAAAACCTCCGCTTTTATTTAAATAACTTGTTACGGTTAAACTGAACACCTACTCGTCGACGACGCGTTCGCATTTCAAATCTTTTTACGAAAGAAACAACAAACAACAAACATAAATCAAGCAATTTAAATCTGCAAAATTTTATCATTATTATCATCAACATCATTATTATTATTATTTAACAAGTTTTTTTTTTCAGTCGAGTCGGTTTAAAAAAATTTTTCATTATCCTTTTTTGCATTTGTGAACATGTTTCCATACGCCTCCGCCATCATTGTTTTTCTTTTTTTTTTTTTTTTTATAAAAAATTTCTAGAATTTTCTTTATCTTTTTTTTTGTGTTTTGCTAGAAATGAGGGGGGGGGGTCCCCATTTTAGTAAAAGAAAACAAATCGTGAAAGGTCTTCCATGTGTTATAGGTCGTGATAACTGTTTTTTTTTTTTTTTTTTTTTCCTGAATATTTTCGGGATTCGAACGGGAACGGGAGTTTATATTTTTTAAAATTAAAAAAAAAACGGGAATCCCCAGATGTTTTTTTCTATTTTTTTTCATTTCGCGAACGGGAAATCCGCGAACGGCGAACGTTTTCTCGTAAATCATTTTTTTTTTTTTTTTTTGGAAGGAACGAAGGAGGGAAAAAAAATAATAATTTCCGGATTTTTTTTTTATTTTTGCGAAAAGAAATTTTCCCGAAGCGAAAGATGGATAAAGAGAGAGAGAGAGAGAGAGAGAGGAACGGGGGGAAATTTTTTCTTTTCCAAAATTAAACCCCCCCCCCAAAAAAAAACGCGTATACGAATTGTGATCATCCTACCGCAAAATTAATCGTGTATTTTTTTTTTTTTAAAGTTTTTCACTTTTTTTTTTTTAATCGTTATCATTATTATCATTATCATATTACTTTATTCTTTAGGGAAACTCTATTTTTGAATAACTAGGAAATGCATAAATTCCTTTTCCTTTCCCCCCATCCGCCTCCCCATCTTTCCAATCTTAAATTATTCTTTATAAATTATTCATTCGAGAGTGAAAAAGTAATTTTTGCAACGCGTTTTTTTTTTGCGTTGTTGTTTGTTGTTTGTTGTTAACGAGCCATTCAATATTTAATTTTTTTTTTTTTTTCTCATCAAATTTTGAAATTTTTCAAACGGATTATTTGACCCATAAAAGAGAGAGAGAGAGAGAGAGAGAGAAAGGAAGAACCAGAAGAAGAAGAAGAAAAAAAAAAAATTTGTTTTTTTTTTTTTTTTATTATTGGGTTGCGTATTGAATTTTCCCAAAAACCGGAAACAGTCGTTCGATGTATTATTATTATTATTATTATTATTATTATTGGACTCGATGAATCGAAAGAAAATTTTTTCGATTTCGTAAGAATAGAATCCTTAACGTATCGTGATGACCCTTTTTCTCTCTCTCTCTCTCTCTCTCTCTCGTCGTGATGGTATTTTTGCAATTGGAAAAAAAAAATGGAGGAAGTGTCAAAAATTTCAATTTTCGTAGGAAAAAAAAAAAAAAGAAAACAAAACGGAAGTGAATTTCGTTCGATAATATCGTATCGATACTTCGATAAATGTTTTCTCACTCGTTCGAGAAATTGTGATGAAAAACGCACAGCCCTCTCGAAATATAGAAAAAAATGAAAAATCCGTCGTTTAATTTTATCCATTTAATTGTTAGGAAAATGGGGAAAACAATAATAAT